TAACTGGTACCACACAATAAACATGTCACTCTATTAAATAACAGGTACCACACAATAAACATGTTACTGTACAAAATAACTGGTACCACAAAATACAAATGTTACTGTACTAAATAACAGGAACCAAACAATAAACATGTTACTGTACTAAATATCAGGTACCACACAATAAACATGTTGCTGTACAAAATAACAGGTACCTCACAATAAACATGTTACTGTACAAAATAACAGGTACCACACAATAAACATGTTATTGTACTTAATAACACATACCACACAATAAACATTTTACTGTAGTTTATTACAGGTACCACACAATAAACATGTTACTGTACTAAATAACAGGTACCACACAATAAACATGTTACTGTAGTATATTACCGGTATCTGGCAATGTGACATATAAGCTTAATTAAATTATTGATGTCTAAAGTTTATTATAACAATGATCTGCCTGTGTTTCAGTTATTACTGAAGATCTCATGCATACGTAAAATATTAAAAACACTGAGATTGGTTGGAGACCTTAGGGTTTTAAATCAACATAATTAGTTTGAGGATCCCCTTGTCTCCTACAGACCATATGCCTGTACTCTATTAGTGTCGCTTACTTGGTTGTTCTGATGTGCCCAGGATGAATGGTAGCTGACACTGAGGTATCAAAATATGTGTTTCTTTATATAATGTTTTACCATATAAAGCACTTAGGGTTGGTTAGTAGGGAAATATTTGTGTTTTATTTGTTACTTATGTTATCCCTGCTTACGGTACCGATCAAATTTTCAGCAATTTGGGAATTTTGATTACTAATTATGAAAAAGAAATTTGTGCTTTTCGTAAATTGTGCGAAAATATTATGAGAGAAAACTATTTGTCAAATCAACAAAATTCCAGCCTCTGTTTTATATAAACATTGTACACCCATCATTTTAATCAAGATGCAATATGGCATAGCCACCCCATTAATCCGGTCACAGGTCTCAAATCTTTGGGACAGAAAGCGACACTTTGTTAAAACATCTTGTCAAAGTGTTCGGTAAATAAAACAGTTGTTGATTTCCCAATGAAACGTACAATTATTATCAATACAAACATTTTAAAACAATCATGTGGAAAGGTCATATCACGATGAATTGTTTAAAGGAAGATATTTTATCATTTTCGAAATGTTTTCAGTCCAAGTTTGCCAAACTACGCACTCTGTAAAATAGGTCAGGGTGTCCTCTCAGAGGTGCAAATTATGTCTATTTTTCTTTGGAAAACACTAAAGACCTGGATGGAGATCTAGAGGATCATGTCAGGTTCTAGACCAGAGTTGATGAACTAAAACTGATGTTTTATGATTGACCATGATAAAGTTAAATATATAAGTTACATTTGAATTTTCTGATTTATATGACTTCTAATTTTATCATCTCTGGATGAAGTTATTATATTGGTAAAAAAAACAAGGAAAGAAAAGGAACACTGTTAATTAAAATAATAAAGTTAAAAAAAAATCATTTTATCAAAGACTCAGTTATTTCTGGAGTTTGCTAAAGATAAGTCTTGATTGCTTCAGAAAAATATGGGGGTTTAGCAACTTCTGCTAATGGATATTTTGATCTAGAGTTTGCAGACTGGTTATATAGAAAAAATCGCATTGATTTTTCTAGGATTTACAACATAGGTTGCTGTAACGGTGTTTGATTTTCCCAATTTGTCTCTTTAAAATTCCATTTTGGAAATCTCAAAGAAATAAAATGGATCAATTTATATAAATTCTCTCAAAAGACAGCGTTCACAAAGTGAGCATACATATGAATGACTCATGTTATAAAGATTAGCTTAAATAAAAATTAGATAGCCTAATATTTCATGATTTAACAGATGCGATAATGATTATTAATCTAGATTTCCCAAAATAGTTATGTTGATAAAAAATTCTCAATTACATCCTGGGATCTATTTCCCAAAACCCCCTAATAAACCTGTGATTTTGCCTGAATGTTGACAATAAAATTAGGGGATGATGTCTTCTATGTGTGAATGTTGACACATTTACAGTAGATAATACATTAAGTGTGAGAATGTTAACTCATGTCGTTTTTGTCTTGCCCCCAAGATGTAGCTGAAGCAGAGACTAAGGTGTTGCTTTTCCGGCGATGGCGTCGGTGTAATTAAGGTTTTGCATTTAAGTTAGTTTCACTGAAAGTATAAGTGCTAGACCAACCAAACTTGGACCATAGATGCATCTTAGATTATAGTGCATCTCAATCCATGCATCAAATGCTGGATTCGCCTATCTTTCATGGTCCATTGACATTGTCAGCATCTCCATCAACATTAAGTTTTTGCGTTTAAGTTAGTTTCTCTGAAACTATAACTGCTAAACCAACTAAACTTGACATGTGCATCGATGAACAAAGTGGGGCACAGGCGAGACATATCAATCTTAATGGCTTATTTGTGTGAATGTTAACACATTAGACAATGAATGTTGACTTCGTAAGCAGTGATGAATGCATTTGAATGTTGACACAAGAGACGATGTCTTATGTTTGTGAATGTTGACTCACTTGACAATGAGTTGTGTGTTAATGTTGACATAGTAGACAATGACAAATGTGGTTTAATGTCGACACAGTGGACAATGACAAATGTGTTTTAACGTTGACATAGTAGACAATGACAAATGTGTTATAATGTTGACATAGTAGACAATGACAAAGGTGTTATAATGTTGACATAGTAGACAATGACAAACGTGTTAAAATGTTGATATAGTAGACAATGACAAACGTGGTTTAGTGTTGACATAGTAGACAATGACAGATGTGTTTTAATGTTGACATAGTAGACAATGACGAATGTGTTTTAGATGTTGACATAGTAGACAATGACAAATGAGGTTTAATGTTGACATAGTAGACAATGACAAAGGTGGTTTAATGTTGACATAGTAGACAATGACAAAGGTGTTATAATGTTGACATAGTAGACAATGACAAACATGTTAAAAAGATGATATAGTAGACAATGACAAATGTGGTTTAACGTTGACACAGTGGACAATGACAAATGTGGTTTAATGTTGATATAGTAGACAATGACAAACGTGTTTTAGTGTTGACATAGTAGACAATGACAAACATGTTTAAAAGATGATATAGTAGACAATGACAAATGTGTTTTAGTGTTGACATAGTAGACAATGACAAATGTGTTTTAATGTTGACACAGTGGACAATGACAAATGTGTTTTAATGTTGACACAGTAGACAATGAAAAATGAGGTTTAATGTTGACACAGTGGACAATGACAAATGTGGTTTAATGTTGATATAGTAGACAATGACAAATGAGTTTTAGTGTTGACATAATAGACAATGACAAACGTGTTATAATGTTGACATAGTAGACAATGAGAAATGTGGTTCAATGTTGACATAGTAGACAATGACAATCGTGTTATAATGTTGACATAGTAGACAATGACAAACGTGTTAAAATGTTGATATAGTAGACAATGACAAATGTGTTTTAGTGTTGACATAATAGACAATGACAAACGTGTTATAATGTTGACATAGTAGACAATGACAAATGTGTTTTAATGTTGACATAGTAGACATTGAAAAATGAGGTTTAATGTTGACACAGTAGACAATGACAAATGTGTTTTAATGTTGACATAGTAGACAATGACAAATGTGTTTTAATGTTGACACAGTGGACAATGACAAATGTGGTTTAATGTTGGCATAGTAGACAATGACAAATGTGTTATAATGTTGACACAGTGGACAATGACAAATGTGGTTTAATGTTGACATAGTAGACAATGACAAATGTGGTTTAATATTGACATAGTAGACAATGACAAATGTGTTTTAATGTTGACATAGTAAACAATGACAGATGTGGTTTAATGTTGACATAGTAGACAATGACAAATGTGGTTTAATATTGACATAGTAGACAATGACAAAAGTGGTTTAATGTTGACTTAGTAAACAATTACAAATGTGGTTTAATGTTGACTTAGTAAACAATGACAAATGTGTTTTAATGTTGACATAGTAGACAATGACAAATGTGGTTTAATGTTGACTTAGTAAACAATGACAAATGTGGTTTAATGTTGACATAGTAGACAATGACAAATGTGGTTTAATCTTGACATAGTAGACAATGAGAAATGTGGTTTAATGTTGACTTAGTAAACAATGACAAATGTGTTTTAGTTTTGACATAGTAGACAATGACATATGTGGTTCAATGTTGACATAGTAGACAATGGCAAATGTGGTTTAATGTTGACTTAGTAAACAATGACAAATGTGGTTTAACGTTGACATAGTAGACAATGACAAACGTGTTTTAGTGTTGACATAGTAGACAATGACAAATGTGTTTTAGTGTTGACATAGTAGACAATGACAAACTTGTTATAATGTTGACATAGTAGACAATGACAAACGTGTTAAAATGTTGATATAGTAGACAATGACATGTGTTTTAGTGTTGACATAGTAGGCAATGACAATTCAAATGTATTTTAATGTTGACATAGTGTACAATGTCTTATTTGTGTAAATGTTGACAAAGTAGACTATCTTTTGTGTTTTAATGTTGACACAGGGAAACATTAATGTCTTAAATACGTGAATGTTGACATAATAAGGAGATGCTGTCTTTTGTGTGTGAATGTTGACTTAGTAGATCATGTGTTATGTGTTAATATTAACATAGTAAAAAAATGTTGACAAAGTAGACAATGAAGAATGTGTGCAAATGTTATATATATATATATTTATCATATTGTGTGTGGATGTTGACACAATAGATGTTTTGTCAGTATGATGATACAAAAAGAAGATGTTCAATTTGGAATATAAATTAACTTGAAGATGATGTTTTTTTTTTAATATACAGAGTGATTAATTAACAAAAATGATGACAAGTTTGTAAGATGACTACAGAATGTTTCCAATTTTGATCTGTTTTGTTGACAGGATCAGGAGAGGAAGATGATGATGTTGAAGGAGAGATTGAACCAGTCCTTGAGGAGGAGGGGGACGAGGAGGAGGAGGAGCCAGGTATGTCATTGCCAAAGGCTATTATAGAATTACAACAGAATGGTTAGATATGATAGAACCTTTCAGCTCCGACAGTTCTGTCCAAAATATTCCTACAATGTACTTTCCTCTTCACTTATATTTATGAAGCTTTGTACACATCATTAGCACCTTGCACAGTCGTGTGCTTGCCATTATTTTCAATTTTGACTATTTCATGAGAGTAATGGTCCTTTTCTGATTTTCTGTTGATAAATTTTGTCCTATGTACTGTTACTTCCCTTCTTGAACACAAACTTTTATGCCTGATTCTCTGATTCCCATTGATATATCTTGTTGAAATTAAATCTAGAACCATTTTTAGATAGAAAATTATTCAGAATGTTATCTTCATCCGAGTAGGCGAGGTTATAATTAGCCTGTAGATTCGGATCTGGCTTTGACAGGATGTTACAGTTTCAAGTTTAAGTTGGAAGAAAGTATCATGATCTTTTATTCCGTTATGATATTTCAGAAATTTCCATCGAAAAGTATTGTTCACCTTATATATAATGTTCATTCAAAAAAGGGAAATTAAGCTTGATGTTTTATGGTTTTCATCATGCCTGCATAGTGATGAAGAGACAGAACACCAATTCAATATGAATTCAACTTCATGGCCAAAGAAAAATCTAGTTTACAATTTTGCTAGGAATTAATGATAAAAATTGGGTGATGGAAAATTCTACATTTCCAAGTAGCAATAAAGTGTATATGTGTGTTGGATTAAATCATGCTTGGTAGTGGTTGTTATATAGGGTATATAAAACGTGACACAGTATACTAGCTTGTAGTCGAGCACTGGGGTGTTCGGTACCACCAGGAACATAACTGCCTATTTAACTATCACCCAATGTTACTTGCATGCCAAATAACCAGAAGCAATATGGCAGAAGTATTCTAAAAGAATAAATTTACCCAACATTGCTTGTCAAGTTTTATTGTTTCTTTAAACAACTTGCCAATATTTCACTTGTAGTGGCCAAGAGATTGTGTGTGTCAGATGGCGATGAGCAGGGTGACATTGGCCTCAAGTTGAGCCACAACTCTGACGTAGAGGGCGTTGTCAACGGTAACCGCTCAGACTCAGGAGACACAGGAGAGTTCCATTGTGACACGTGCGGGAGTCTGTTCGGAAACCTTGAGCAGTTTATGGACCATAGGAACTTTGAGTGTGTTCCAGGTAAGTCCTTAGCGTCTGAAAATAAAAAAAATCATTATGTCATGTTCCCCAATTGACACACAAAATGTCACAACATTAAAACAATTTCAATTAATTTTTTTTTTGCTGAGTATGTAGTAAATCAAGGATACAGTCCAGAATGGTTCTCTGAGGGGCAGTTTTACTTACCTTCTCCTGGCTCTAGCTGGCCCTAACCTGTTAAGATTGACACCAGCTCTGAACAAAATCCAACTGCTGTTCACTTAAACAAGTCTTGATGTGGATGGTGTGACATTTTTATTGACCTATTCCTTTCTGCCTACCACCTAGCCAGAGAGGGTAGGGTTTGCCGAGATAATATAAAAAATGATGACAAAACATTTTAACATACTTATTTAAACTTTGTTTTCCAATGCCTGGACCATGAATTAACTTTAGAAGAGATTTTGTTGTTTAGAACAACAATTTCCTCTAAATGATGATACTGTGTCATTAATCTTGTTACCTGTAAAATCAGGTATTACCTGTACATTTAAATAATACAATAAATCCTCATCACAAAGATCACACAAGTCTCCTTCAGATATCACAGAAGTCTACTACAGAGATCAAACAAGTCTACTATAGAGATCACACAAGTCTACTACAGATATCACACAAGTCTACTACAGAGATCACACAAGTCTACTACAGATATCACACAAGTCTACTATAGAGATCACATAAGTCTACTACAGAGGTCACACAAGTCTACTACAGATATCACACAAGTCTACTACAGAGATCACACAAGTCTACTATAGAGATCACACAAGTCTACTATAGAGATCACACAAGTCTACTACCGAGATCACACAAGTCTACTACAGAGATCACACAAGTCTACTACAGATATCACACAAGTCTACTATAGAGATCAAACAAGTCTACTACAGATATCACACAAGACTACTACAGAGATCACACAAGTCTACTACAGATATCACACAAGTCTACTACAGAGATCACACAAGTCTACTACAGATATCACACAAGACTACTACAGAGGTCACAAGTCTACTATAGATATCACACAAGTCTACTACAGATATCACACAAGTCTACTACAGATATTACAAAAGTCTCCTACAGAGATCGCACAAGTCTACTACAGAGGTCACATAAGTCTACTACAGATATCACATAAGTCTCCTATAGAGATCACACAAGACTACTACAGATATCACACAAGTCTACTACAGAGATCACACAAGTCTACTACAGATATCACACAAGTCTACTACAGATATTACAAAAGTCTCCTACAGAGATCGCACAAGTCTACTACAGAGCTCACAGAAGTCTACTACAGATGTCACACAAGTCTACTACAGATGTCACACAAGTCTTCAACAGAGATCGCACAAGTCTCCTACAGAGATCACACAAGTCTACTACAGAGGTCACAGAAGTCCACTACAGAGGTCACAGAAGTCTACTACAGAGGTCACAGAAGTCTACTACAGAGGTCACAGAAGTCTACTACAGATGTCACACAAGTCTTCAACAGAGATCGCACAAGTCTACTACAGAGGTCACATAAGTCTCCTACAGAGATCACACTCCTTGAGAGATCACACAAGTCTCTTACTGGGGTCACATAAGTCTCTTACAGAGATCTCATAAGTCTCTTACAGAGATCTCATAAGTCTCTTACAGTGATCATACTCCTTGAGAGATCACACAAGTCTTCAACAGAGGTCGCACAAGTCTCATATAGAGGTCACATAAGTCTCCTACAGAGGTCACATAAGTTTCCTACAGAGGTCATACCAGTCTCCTACAGAGGTCACCCAAGTAACCTGTAGAGGTTACAAAATTCTCCTTTTGAGGTCACAGAAATCTCCCGACAGAAATCACGCCAGATTTCGAAGCTGTGGACTATTATCCTCTGGCAACATACTTTTATCTGTTGTGCTGTTGTAATACTAAAGATGGATTGGTCATGGTTAAATTATTAACCACTTCTTCATAAACTGTTTGTATTGGTGACAAACATTTGTTTATAAATCACACTGTATAGTGTATCTTAATTACTTGTTGAAAATGAGAAAAAATGGTTCAGTATTTAATGTGTTTTAAAAACATGGTATATGTGTTAAAACTGTTTAAAGTGTTAAAAAACATTCTTCGGCACATTGTTTGTGTGTTGAGTTCACCGATTACATATCCAATGATGTCTGCGCTGGGATAGGTTGTTTTACACAGAATGCTTCACAAGCAAACATTCCCTGTTTTAGGCATCAAACTAATTTCATGAAGTAGAACTATTGAGAATTGTTGCTGAGTAAATGAAGGGAACTCTCCTGTGTATGTGTGAACACCTTCAGCTACATGGATGTGGGCTTGTGTCTACCGGCACTCAAAGTCAAACTCATCAGTGGTAATTCACCTCACAAGTGAGAAATTTGTCAGAGCAAAGCAGTAGAAAATCATGTTTAAATGTGGAAAGAGTTTGAAGTATCTCTTTGCCAGCACTCCTGAACCCTGTCTCTGGGGCGAATCTTCATTTGAGGGTTGTGTGTTTCGGGGAACAGCACCCCTGAGGGCCTGACACGCCACCATTTGGATAGGGTTTATTCCGAGTTTGACAACCTTCAGTAAAAAATTGCAAGCTGTGTTCTACCATGGGACACCCAGTTCTGCTATAAAATGGAGTCGGAAGGAAATAAAATCTGAAGTGAACGGCGACAGATTTTTGAGTTGGTAATGACAAGTAAAGTTTAATATGCATTTGGTTCCAGAATTTGATCTTTGCAATTTGCTGTTAAAATGGAAATGGAGAAGGGGAATTATCAGCTGGATTATGGAATGTTTTTAGTTTGGGTTGTGGCAGTGGGTCAATGATATTGTATTAAAGCTATATTTGGGGCAGGATTTCAAATCCTAGTACACACAGGACAATACAGATTGACGTTATGAATCTGATTGGTTATATCGTTTGATGGCTATTGCGGGGAAATCGGCAGCTTTAAGATTGGCACAAAAGGGCAGGGTGCGGAGTTTGATTGTCCTGGTACATGTGTGGTCTATACTGTTAGTACTATATCTTCTGTATCAAAAAAGAAGTTAACAGCATATCTGTGATTTGTTCAGTACGTTGATGACAATTCCATCTTTCACTGCCCTAAAATGGATCGTGGTGCGACTCTCTGTGGACAGCGCCATGTATTATCATCTCCATGGCAACCTACATGTTAGCTCTCAGGGAGATCTTTTATGGCTCTCGGAGATATTTTTTGTCAGTATCATGGTGTCCTGGCATTTTCTGATCACACATGATCAAATATACAAGACAGATTACACAATCAAATATACAAGGAAATTTGTTTTTTTAAGAAAAACCCAATACATTTAGAAAACCTGCAGCTGTCATCTGTTGTATAATCCATTAAATATACCAGATCAATCAATAGTTATTGTTATTCAGTTCATTGCTTGCACATATGTATTTAAATCCATGAATATGTAATGTAAGTTGTCAAACCAAGGACTTACACATTTGGACACCAATATGATGCCCATCTGACTCCATGTTTACATTTAACCTATCTTTCTCCATGTATGCATGATGGCCATTCCAATAAGAGTTACAAGATTGTATGTTGGGATAATTAACTACGGTAAACCTTCGGTCAGTTCGAACAAAATTAAATAAATATTGATGAACCTGTTCGGATTATACAAAATTATGCTTCAGAAATTAAGCGTGAGTTTGAACTATCGGCAAAAATTTCGGCAAAGTGTAAATCAAATCACAAACATATACCCGACATATTTTCTTCACCGGAGTATACCTCTATATATCCAATGTAAGGTGATACGTAACAACGACGGCCTGGCATAGAACAATGGCACCTTTATAAATGGGTAAAATGATAGTATATTATTTAATTCAATGTTAATTGATCATTAAACTTTCTTCATTTCGTGATAATTATTATCGTTATTGCGAAGCAGAGGCCATTGTGAAGGCCCCTAAACAGTCAGTACACGTTTCATTTGTGACACAAAAGTTAGACTACCTATCTTGTGTCCTGATACCTACCAAACTTAGTTGAAACTTTCAAAATTACCCATCGCTAATTGGGACACCTGTGGATTTTTGGACTTTGACATGAATGCTAACATGTCACTCACAATGGCTGGGCGGCCGATCCCTACCGCGACATCAAGTCCTGCCCTACCTGGTGTGAGGGCACACGTTTACAGGTAATACCTTGATTGGCAATAATTAAGGGATGTCTGGTCGCAATTAAATAATCAAAATGCTTAGTTAACACTGTATTTGACAATACAAGGGCGATTTCTTAGTTTGCCATCCAGCGTGACATCAGTTCGTACTGATCGCATGTTATTTATACATTGTCGGGGCCTAAGTTGCTATTGGCTGTCTCGTGCACGATGTATTTTCAAACAATGTAAAAAAATGAATCAACGCTAAAATCTGAGACATATATTTATGGTTTGTCTGTCACAGCTGTACTGCAATGCTCACACATACAACCCATTACCCTAAACGTGTCTGTTGATCAAAGTATTGGCATTTTTCCGGGGCCGATCGATGAAGTTTGCCGAAAAAAAATCTTACTTTAAATGTACGTTCTTCATTTGACAAGTTCGGACTATCCGAAATAGGGTCAATCAGAGTTTGAACTATCACTAGCTAGAAAATTATTGTTTTTATTGAAAAAAATACGTGTTCGAACTATCCGCCGTTCGAACTGACCGGAGGTTAACCGTACCAACTTTGTTCAAATGACAAATATTCATAGTCACCGGGGTCAAATGTGTTGTAACTTTAAACTACTTCTTTTGATCATGTGTAACCCAAATGTCTAGGGTGATGATATTTTGCCAGTAGAGTGCTGGGATTAAGTGTTACAAAGTTTGTTCAAATGAATGACCTTCACCCATATTCATGGTCACAGGGGTTGAAATATGTTTAAAACTTTAAATAAGTTGTTCTGATTAACCAAAAG